CAAGTGCCAAGTTTAAGCAGCGTCCGCCGCGATTTGCATATCCTCGATTTAGTTGTGATTTGTGAGCTTAGTATGCACTTGAAAGAACTTTTATTTGTGCCACCACACCCGAGGAAGGATTCCGCCCGACAACCTTTAACGGACGTCAACGCCCTTACATTCCAACATAGCGCACTCGCAGTTTGCCAAAGCGACGCAAAACACATGTCTGACACCGCATGTCTGGTGCAACCTGCGCCATGCAATGTACGACGAGGAAGATTTGGAGCTTGATTGGTTGCACGTTGGCCAATCACAATGGCGGAGCCTACAAGCAATGAGCCACTGGTGCAGAGGAATGAGCTGAGCGTTGTTCTTGAAATGAGGTATATACATGTACATGTATTAACGTTACTACGCAAGAATAAAGTTGAAGATACGGAATTTTTTAGCACACCATGACTCATCGCGAAGTGCATCAAGCAAAGCGCCAAGCGATGGGGCGGCGCAATGGATCACATGCCGGACATGCAATCGCGGGACAGTAGCTGCGCGCAGCAGCGGAATACTTCGTCAGCATGGAAGACTCTTGGAATGAGTGCGCGTTCTCTGTCGACTGTCGTATTTTTGTGTCGATTTGTCCATCAAGCCATGTACGTTCAGAATACACCGGTACGCTTGCTTGGTCGGGAAATTTCCTCGGCTGTCCAGTTCCACATCCATTATTCCTACTGCACTGTAGCTCCTAGTGCAACAAAAGAGCCAAAGGCCTTGTTGTCGTGGAGCCTGTGGACGATGACATTCAGGAAGCGACACCAATATTTGTACATCACTATATTGTCAAATAGCAACCCGATCGACGTGCATACGCTATTGGGAGCGATCAAGTTTTGCTGAATTTTGCACTGGATTGTTAAAAGGTGATCTCCTTCGCGCCCATCTTTTGTTGCATTTCGACTTTTTCCATGCGCTTGCTGCTGGTGCTTGCGATCGTCGAGCGCGCGCTCGGTAGCTGCGCGTACGCCGACTTGTCGTTGGCGGCGAACGCGTCCATTTTGGTCGCCGATGCCTCATGCACGACGGTGCCAGTCTGCGGCGTCCGACCCAACTGCAAGGTCTACGACTCGTTCTCGTCCGATTGGAGCAGCTACGTGCGGTTTGACGCGATTGGCGATCTCAGCGGCTACACTCAACCCAACCTGTACGACGACACTCTTCTATCTCCATGCTAACGCACCTTCTAGCACGGTTGCCAACTGGTCGACTCTCACGCTCGTCAAGATGAAGCTGCCACCGACGCTCACAAAATTGTACGTCCCTATACCTCCTTCTTTTCCCACAAAGCCAATGGGATCAAGGGGCAGGACACTCTCAAACATTTCAAAAGTCGACCTCAGCGCCATTCAAGCAACACAGTGGAGCGCGCTCACGGACCTGTACGTAAGCCTCGATGTCGTCGGTATCTCAACGCACGCACCGCTAGTACGTTTGATCTGTCGCCGGTTGTCCTCACCAGCAGCGTCAAGTGGCCGCCGTCGCTGGCATCATTGTTCGTACCACCTCCCTCTCATTCTTGCATCGTGTACGTATTTCTTA